GCAAATTGGTTTTGTGCCATGGAAACGAGGGATGCTGCTCGTATAGCTGCCCAGGCTGCGCGCTTCTCTTTCTCGATCTCTTTCAGCCTTTCTTTGTTTTCTTTTGATCTTTTCGTCTTTTGTTTTGACTCTTTTTTGTCAGTCTTCCCCGGTTTCTGTTGTTCGGCCGCTTGAGCTTCCGCAGCAGCTAGAAGTTCATCTGCTTTCTTAGCTTGTTTGTTGTTTGCTAAGTACGTTACTGACATCTCTAGGTAGGCTTGTTTCATCAAACCAAGGTCATGATCGGATGAGAAGATTAGTCTAATTGACTCAATCAGTGTATTAGTAGCGGTATGAGCCGGTAGAAGCCCTGCATCAAACATTTGCCGCTGGACTTGTCCTGAAATCAAGATAATTAACAATCAAATCTAAACTTAACCATTTGTGCGGGTTCCCTGTTGTTTCGCGCTAAAAATGATAATTTCGTTTACCGCCAAATATGCAAATAGATATATAYATAAGGCGCARAACAATAAGCATATTCATTCAAAGTTCTGTACGCTACGTTASAGGGTAAGCAAAAAACATTGTCATTTCTATTTCGTAACATGTTTGTWTAGTGATTCTTGTAACTTAATATATCTTAGGTTTCGAACTACAACTATTACTACTACCGTAAAKCATGTGTATTAAARAGTTTGACCCGAAAGTGCAGTTCTTTGAATCACCTGTGTTGTTMATTTCAGATTTTTTGCCATGTWTGGATACGAACAAAATGTCCGATTGTTSAAAARTCTTCTCATTATATYATCTGCAAGTTTCAGACGATTTAATGCACGCTATAAAMATCGARAAAATCGCCAWACGCGAGTTCACACTCATTTCCAAATAAGGTATAAGATTACCATATATAGCTGCTAAAGAAATGACAAACTTTCAATGGAAAATCTTTTAAACTGCGGGAGAGGATATGACTTCTTTGTCTACATGCATACCATCAATCAATTCTTAATTCAACTTTGAAACTATCAAACTCGAATATAATATCTATCACCCTTATGTAAGAACAACCGAAGAGTTTGTATAATTTACCGACTTTTTCTCATAGAACAACTCATGAAAAACTGCAGTCAAAGCCTTACCTAGACTGAATACCAGTCGCGCTTCCATTGGTTTTCGCTTAAAAGCAGCATTGTGCATCARTGAGATKCCTAGCTCAAGYTCTTTAACACCCCTGGAAAAACTTTCCGAATCTTTTCCATTTTTGTYCAGGCTACCATGCGCATATGCTCGTCCAAATCGTAGCTTGAGCTCCACTAGCAGGTCAAGTTGTTGGAGGAAGATGTTTTTCAATGGAAGAACAGGGGACTTAATTGTAGAATCGACGCATTCACCAAGATTAATTATCTGCAACATTATATCATGAGATAATGAGTATGAAATGAATTAAAAATATTAGTCGAGATCTCATTTCTCTCACGATATTTGGATCAAGGCAGTTAAAAAAAATAAATACATAGAATAACAATAAAGAAACAAAGGACAAGGTCAGGCTAATGAAAATATTTCAAAATAATCTGTTAAGCCTTATTTTTAGACCAGCTTAGATCCGTATGACTCACTGCCAAGAATCATACAATAGTAGCCTATTATAAAATTCTGCATTTTACACTTCACAGTGCCATAGTCAAACCGGTTTGATCAAAGCGAAACAGGAATTGAGCCTGCAGTGATAGATACCTATTATTCACTCCAGAGAACATTGTTCACAAGTATCTTTCATAGCAAGCTGCTGTCTCGCTTTGATGCAAAGGCTCGGCTTCCTTTCGTGCGCTCGACACTGAGTATTAAAGCATTTTGACGATGCCCTCGGGTCCGCAGTAATTGGCTCACGCTGTTGCGGTGTCCCTGCCCAATCTTAAGTTCCTAGTGTATAACTTAATATCTTGTCCAATGTATGTATTATTTATATCAACGTAGTTATTTTTCCTTTTTGTGTATTCTTCAGGGCAAAGCTAATACAATCAAATAAAATAAAATAAAAAAAAAATACTGTGTATCGTTTTTCGTAGCCTTTAGAACAATTTGTATATGAAATCGCACGACTTTGATCACAATGGCGCGTGCAATTACGAAGAACTTTCAAAACATTACGAGTGACTATTAATTCCAAATTGTACGAGAGGTTGTGAGATTTTTTGTTTATACTACATTCAGTGAAGCAAAATGTTATAAGGAGTAAAATTAACGCTGAAAAAGTATTTTTTTTCTTGAACGTACTATAAGGACCAGTTATCCTATGGACTCACTTCGTCACTTCGATATACATGCACAGCCTTTCAAGATGGCGGAGGAAATACAAATAACTATCAATGTACCTGTCTTAGGACAACACTTGCAGCCTGTTCGTATGCCAACAGAGGTTTAATAATATGCTTGAGATCATCAGAGTGTCTTCCTTGTTTGCTAATGTCCCCATACTGGATAACTGCCTTAGTCAGAAGACACTGACCTTGATATGACAACGTTTGGCAWCGTTCGAGATTAAGTATTAATTCCTAAAATATAAAAAGGCTTTAGAATACTTATTCACTATTTATTTCCATTTTTTTAAGCAATACTTAGGCTCAGGTCTGCTGACTGAGTTCAGTAAAAAAGTTACTGATTTTGATGTACTTCTGGTTAAGAGAAAATGTGGAAAAATACATACTCTGGAGGTGGGTTGATTATAAGTACGATTGCGCATTCCAGTGGGGATAAAACGCTTATCAGGCAGATAAGATTTATTCAATGGAGCAGATAACCACCCTCAATACAACAGCCGGACCAAAAATATGGTCAATCGAGGATCAAAACAGTCCTCAAAAACAAGGAAAGTGAACTTTAACCTCGAAGCAGACTGCAATAAGTTAATGGCAACTGGCAATAAACG